AAACCCCAAACCCTAAACCCTAAACCCCAACCCCAACCCTAAACCCCAACCCCAACCCCAACCCCAAACCCCAAACCCTAAACCCTAAACCCTAAACCCTCACCGTCGAGGCCGTAGGCTCCCTGTCTGGTGATGATGCGGTTGATGACTTTTGCTGCCAACTTAATGGAAGTTAAAATGCTGCTGAGTTCTGTGGGGTTTATTCCCGTGCTGCTGAGGAGGGGCCCCTGCTGCAGCACGAACTCCCCGAGTTCCAGCAGCAAACGGCTCTCGAAGGGGGGCCCCCTGCGGGGCTCCTCGGCCAGTACCCTCGAGCCCCAGCTCTGCAGCGCCGGCGGGGGGGCCCCCATCCTGCTGCTGCTGCTGCTGCTGCTGCTGCTGCTGCGGGGGGTGGACGGGGGAGGGCGGGGGCAGCAGCAGCAGGGGATGCGGCAGCGGCAGCGGCAGCGGCAGCGGCGGGGCTGGGGATGGGATGGAGAGGCAGCTGCTGCTGATGGGATGGAGAAGCAGCTGCTGCTGCAGCAGCAGCAGCAGCAGCAGCAGCTGCAGCAGCTGCTGCTGCTGCAGCAGCGAGAAGGGGGGTGGAGGCTAGTGGGCGACGGCGGGGGCCGCCTTCGCGCAAACGGCGCGGGCAAGGATAGGGGAAGCAGCGGGAAATAAGGGGAGTTGGAGGGATTAAATGGAAGAATTAAATGAATTAAATGAATTAAATGAATTAAATGAATTAAATTGCATTTAATTTGCAAAGGCGGAGAGAAAGCAGAAAGAATGAACGCACAGACCAACGAAACCGCGGCTCCGCAGATGAGGCGACACCGCAGGCAGCGGAACGCCACTCGCGGCAACTGGGCTCAAATTAAATGAATTAAAAGATGTGAAATGATTTAATTCAAATTCATTTCTTTTTTCCCTTTTTTCCGGTGTATTTACACCCCAACAAACCCAAAAGCGCGCGGACCACTCCGCCGCGGCGGTCGCCGCTGCGGTGTACAGACACCTGAGCTTCCCGCGAAACTCGAAACCCCAGTCCACTTCTTTTCACTTTATTTCAATTTTATTTTTCTCCATTTAATTCTTTTCTTCTTTTTGCGAAACAATTTCGAAAAATGCCGCCAAATAGACCCCCGCCGCGCCCAGATGCTGCACCCAAGCCCTAAACCCTAAACCCTAAACCCTAGCCTCTCCGCTCCTCGAAACCCTCGCAGTTCCTCCGAAACCCTAAACCCTACCACACTGCCACTCGCCCCGCCCATGCTCCAGCCTACACCGCCTTCTAACACCCCAAACCCTAAACCCTAAACCCTAAACCCTAAACTGTGTACGCACACACAGGGCTTTGGCCTCGTCTGCCTCTACAGCTAAACCCTAAACCCTAAACCCTAAACCCTCATTTCGTTTCTAGCCTGTTCCTGCTGACGCCAGTCCAGGGGAATGTAATTAAAGGATAGCGAACAGCGACAAGAGAGAGTGCCGCTGCTGCTGCTGTTGCGAAGTGCAGCAGCAGCAGCAGCAGCAGAAGTTGCAGCAGCAGCAGCAGCCGCTGCAGCAGCCACTGCTGCTGCTGCTGCTGCTGCTGCTGCTGTCCTCAAGGGCCCCTCCGCCCCCCTCACTCTCCGTCTCCTCGTCTGGGTCGCAGCCGGGGGCCCCACAGCCGCAGTTACACCCCACAAAGTTTGAGA